GGGCAGGAGAGCTGATTCGGCGTTATGCTATATTATATGTAGTTGTTCTATGGCTTTGAAAAAAAACAATTATTTAAAACTTTCACCACATCTCTGATGTGTTTCACAGCACGGCCCTGCAAACACATGTTATTTTGCAATGTTTTTGCTGGAAGGAAAAAAAAAAAAAAAAGAGGATTCAAGACCTGCTTAAACTAATTTTGTTGCCAAATTCTTTGTGTTATCAAGCCCCGCCTGTGTCTGTAGCTCTCTTCCTTTCCTGCCTGTCCCTTCCTGGGTGGCCTTATTAGTCAGGGAAGAGAAGGCTTTTGGAAACAACGTTCGGGTGTTGAGCTTGTGCTTTCAATAGCAGCCATGCCCCTGTACAGCTTCGCTTCCATTGGGAATAATATGAGGCTGAATGCAGCAGTTCTGCATAGAACTGGCTACTGCCTTTATTCTGGATGGGTGCTCTAAATATCGCGTCCTTATGCACTGTGTGGGGGAGATTTCTCGGTACCTGTTGGTTTCTTTCTCAGCTGGTGACCTCCTGTGCACTGCTGGCGTCCTCTGTAGCGGTAACCACACACATAGTCATTTCCTTTTCCCTCTTACCTCATTTTGGAAGACTTTGCTCTTGAATCTTGTAAACGGGGTGATAATTTCAAAGCAAACAGCTTCCAGTCCTTTCTTGCCAACTTTTGCCCACAAGGTATGCAAAGTAAACAGAGCAGCTGGGAAATTAGTTATGTACCTTCCCTCCTAGCGCAGGGCATCCCAGGATGGTTCGTAGCTCTAAGTAATAAATAAAGGGAGAGAATGAGATTGGTACACCCAAGTTGGGTTTTAATGTATGGAGCCATTGCACAAATCATTCATACTCTTAAGAAGCTGTAGAAAAACCTTGTAAAATGTGAGGCTTTAAAAACGCTCCACTATTCGTGTATTGAACATAAAGGTGTTTTATTGCTTGCAGGAGAGAAAGAAAATCAAAATATCAAGGATGAGGTAAAAGAGATATAGATAATTTTACTTACATATAAAAAATAACTTTGAAGCAAACTTTACCTAAATATGAGGATTCTTACCTCTGTTAAGCTCACGGAGGAAGCTTGGAAGGATTTCCAGGTGCTACCATGGTGTTTATCAGTTTGATTTGGAAACTGTGGGTCTGGATGCTGGAATGGCAGGTACACAGCAGTCACAGGGTACAGTAGCTGTAACAGGGTATGCAGATGCCATCATAGTGTATTTATTCAAGGAGACAAGCGTGGGCAAGTATTAAAAAATGTGACCTTAATAAGTTGATAAAGAAATGGTTAACACTTAAATATATTTAGCTCCAGCCTATTTACAGAACAGCCTTTGCCAATTGAGCAATAGGTAAATTTGTTAAATGTGAAAACTCAACCTGAGGTTATCGACCCGGAGGCTCAGCTACAAGGGGGTGGCGTAGCTGCAAAGAGGAATAACCATTATGTGATCTCCTCCAAATGAGAGAGAGCAGGTCCTGAGTGTACAAGGCTTGCAAGAATTCAAATCAGCAGTTGAATTATAATCTAATGAGGCCATGAGCAGAAACACAACTTCTGTTTAAAGCTCATGTGTGTGGCAGCACAAGTAAAAAGCTGGAGCCCTCCAGTCCCAAAAGAAGATCCTTCATTAGGAATTTTACTTCCTGGCATGCTTCAAAGGGCAGTAATATAACAACCCAGGGCAGCTCTCCTTCACACATTCATAGGTAGCTATATGCATGGAGAGATCTCTACTCCTTTTCAGAAATAGGGTCTCCGTTATTAAAAGGAAAAAAAGTATTATATATAATAGGTGTAATATATTTTATAGTTACAATTGATGTGTTTTTAAAGGAAAATATGTTCTGTTATGTGAAAACTTTCCCTTCATGTTTCCCAAGTGAAGGTTTTGAAACTCGCTGAAGGTAGGGGTTTGCTTAATAGAAATTCCTTGAGTAACATAAACGTTAACTCAAAACACCTGAACGAATGTTACATTTCTGTCTTCTGAAATATTTCAGTTGTACTTGTGCCAAATGCAGAGCAGTGAACGCAACTGTAAGGGGCTAGTTTGGCTGTATTTGTAGTCCCTTGAATGCATGAGCTGATTAATTTTTTTAATATATATATATTTTAAATACAGAATTAATGTTAAGATCTTATGCTGACCTGAAAGGAGAGGAAATATTACAATTTGAGTAAATTTAGTGTATATTAGCCACAAGGTAAGGATGATGTGTTCCTGGAATAATTTCTTTTTAAGTAGTTGTGCTTCAATAAAGCATAAGATCAAACATCCCAAACCACACAGTAACTTTTTTCGCTCTTTAGTTCAAATAAGCCTCACCTCAATTGACTTTTTTTTTTTTCCAAAGTGAAGTTATGAATTTCCTCTTCACACACGTAAGAGAGATCACGAGTTGAGGTAGCCTTCTGCTTAGCCTAGCCCCCATGAAGCAGTGACTGCTTTATGAGATTTGATTCAGCATCAGCTTTTTACCTGTGAATCCTTGATGAGGTTAAAGCTGTCCAGGTAAGTGCAATTACAAATGTGATGCAGATTGTACCAAAGCCAGGAGATCAGCAGTCTGGAAGCTTTGTGGCTGAGCTACAAATCATGGGAGTAACCTTCTCTTTGGTACATACCCGTTCCTATTCTCTGCCTGTCTTCTGGGGAAGAAAAGGCAGCAGTACTCAGTGGGACAGACTGTACCTTCATGGGTTACATTGTGTAAAGACCAGCAAACCATGTAGGAATTCAGATTTTTGTTTATTTTTTTGTCCTCTGAGTGGCTGTTTGAATGGCTTTCCTCTTGCTCTGCGGTCAGAGAAGACAATGCCTTAACTAC